TGCGAGCCGACCGCCTTCCATCCCGGCGGCTAACCCTTCCCCCGAGACCTGGGCCTTTAATTAGAGATGCCGCCAGCTCTTTGCAAAGGGATAAAAGGCTGAAAGGGAGGGGGCCAGATTCTGGAGGGAGTGCCCCAAGGTTTGGGAGCGAAATTAGAACAAGCTTGGAAAATTAAGAGGAAACAAAGAGTTAATGTCATTTTATCCAAGCTCAAAACGCGCTTTCCAAAAATTAGAATGTTCTTTCCCCTCCCTAGAATGTTCTTTCTCCTCCCGTTGGCCAAAATAACGTCAGCCCTGGTTTGAAACATTTCCTCTCTCGGAAACCCCCAACACCATCCTCCTTAACCAGCGACTCCCTGGAGAAGGGATACGCTCCCTCCTGACAGCAGCGCCCTTTCAAACCACAGTTTGAAATCCCAAGTTCCTGCGGAGTCATGGTCACTGCGAACATTAATATAATAATTAATGCCCTGCCGACCATTAATAGCTTTAACTGAACTGTTTTTTCAGAGATGGGCATTCCGAGGCGAGAAAGGCAGTTAGCCGCCTTGGACTCCGCCGCCGCCTGCACTTCCGGAGCCCGGTTTCTGCATTTAGGAGCAGCCCGTCTGCAGCCTAGGTGATTTGCTGAATGGGAGCAATGATGGCGGGTACACCCCAGGACTGCTGTGAGCTGTAAGTGAGTTATTATATTTGAAGTTCTGACAATAGTGCCTGGCACAGTCTCCAGCGGTCGCCAACCGGTGGTCCTCAGACCACTGGTGGTCCGCAAGGTTGGCGACCACTGGCTCTAAACCATATGTAAGTGTTTGAAGAGAAAAAGGCTTAAACTTGTTAACATAAGAACATTCAAACATGTAAAGAATTTTTGTAAGTTTATTTGAGCCAACTGTGGACAACTGCTGGGAAGCAGAACCTCAATGAATTGAGAGAATGCTGCAGAAAATGGCATGTTTTTTTTTCATCTATTTTGTAGATTAGAAAGGCAGGAGAAAGCAAAGTGGGGGAAACCCCTGGGATTGGAGAAAAAGTAAAATGATAGACACATACTTTGGTGGGTGCAGGGTAGTTAACTATCAACAATTTATATATATAAAAGGCAAGCGACCAGTCACTGTGATGATAACTGTGGCCCCAACCTCCTGTGGCCCCTCTCCCTCACCTGCCCAGCCCAATCTGGCCCCATCCGGGTGGGCCAGCCGGACCCAACCCGTGAACGAATTCGTGCACAGGCCTCTAGTTAACATGATAACAATGACAATGAAGGAATTTGTGGTCTCTGTCCTGGTGTCCAAGCACATTAGGTTGTGCCCTGAGGGGTCTGGAAAAAGAGTACTTACAAGTTACCCGGACATTTCAAGGATATGTTATCACAGGTGCAAAAAGGTTGACCTTGTCAGGGAAGATACCTGCCTAGGCTGTAACTACCCACAATAACTGCTTTTAGTTGAAGTTTAATTTCAGACCATCCTTTGTGGTGACTTTAGGTCTCTGCATTTGCAAGGCCGGCATGCAGGCCTCCCTGAGCTTGTCAGGTTAGCATGTGGCTTCCCCACCCCCACCCCTACCCCCAAACTGGAAAGGGAACTTTTGTTGGGGCCATGGGGACAGCCTACACAAGTAATTTCCAGCCTCTGCCCCAGTGATTCTGGGATCTGACCAATGAGCTGATAGGGTCCTACAGTGAGAGGACTTAAGTCAATAGCATCCTCTTTTAAAACAATACATTTCCTTAAATTCAGAAACATGTTGGAGGAAAAATACTAAAGAAAATCAAGGGTATTAGAAAACATAAAAGTTCTTTCCATTCCTGAGGTTAGCTAGAAGGAGGTGCCGTCCCAAATGGCTGTGGGGTGAGTGCGTTTGTGCTCATTTGTGAGTCAGCTTCTCCCCAGTCTTTCCTCCACTAGACATCTGACAGTCTTCAAGGACTTCTGCAGAGGTGTTTAAAGTCCAGGATCGGCCTGCGAGAATTTTGAACCTGACTGACCCACAGCTAAGGGGATATTAAGTAGCTGAGAGGAAGAAGAGCTAGATAAAACAATGCCATGTCCCCCATGAACTTCGCCCAGAAACCCACCTTCCTTATCATTCCTATCACTTTTCCCACAATATTTTATCTCATAAATTTTCAAACAGAGTTGGAAGAGTTTACAGTAAATACCACCTAGATTCTATGATTCACATTGTCCTGTGCTTGCTTTTCCACATTAGCCACCTACCGCTCCCTCTAGCCATCTAGCCATTTGGTTACACTTGTTTCAACCTTTTGCTTTTGTTAGTTTTATGTGGCTTAAACAGGCTGATACATTTCTTGCTTTTTGTTTGTTTGTATTTCATTACTATATTCCCAGCACCTTCTGGCACAAAGTAGGACCTTAATAAATATTTCTTGAATGAATGAAGAGACACCATGTGTCATTTGTAGATTCCCAAGGGCCACTGAGCACAAGGAGGGGCAAGCAGAAAGCAGCAGATACGTGTCACGTGACTGAAGGAAGGAATAAGTGAACAAACGTGGAAGAGGTGAGAAACTCCCAAGCCAAGTCACTTCCTTCTCTGGAGGGAAAGGTGTTCCCTGATCAGCGGTCGCCAGCGGAATCTCTCGCTCTCCCTTCCACTCTCTCTTTAAAAAGGTTGGGGGTGGCCCTAACCGGTTTGGTTCAGTGGATAGAGTGTCAGCCTGTGGACTGAAAGGTCCCAGGTTCGATTCCGGTCAAGGGCATGTACCTTGGTTGTGGGCACATCCCCAGTGGGGAGTGTGCAGGAGGCAGCTGATTGATGTTTCTCTCCCACCGATGTTTCTAACTATCCCTTTCTCTTCCTCTCTGTAAAAAATCATAAAATATAATTTTTTAAAAAAAGGCTAGGGTGGGGAATGTCCTCAAGTGATGATTAAATAAATGAATAAATAAAAAGAAACTATATGAAAAAACAAAACCTTGCCCTGACCGGTTTGGCTCAGTGGATAGAGCGTCAGCCTGTGAACTGAAGGGTCCCAGGTTTGATTCCAGTCAAGGGCATGTACCTTGGTTGCAGGCACATCCCCAGTAGGGATTGTACAGGAGGCAGCTGATCGATGTTTCTCTCTCATCGATGTTTCCAACTCTCTATCCTTCTCCCTTCCTCTCTGTAAATCAATAAAATATACTTTAAAAAAAAAAAACCTTGTATCAAAATAAGCCAGTCAGAGAAAGACAAGTATCACATGATCTCACCCATGTGGAGCCTAATGAACAAAATTGAACAAAATAAACAGACATGGAAGCATGGAACAGACTGATGAATCTCAGAGGCAGGTGGGGTGGTAGGGAGAGGTTAACCAAAGAACTTATATGCATAACCCATGGACACAGACAGTGCGGTGAAGGCTTGGGGGCGGGATCAGGGTGGAGAAGGTCAATGGAGGGGAGGCAAGGGGGACAACTGTAATACTTTCAATAATAAAGGTAAATTAAAAAACAAAAAGAACCCTAGCCACTGGTGTGCTCAGTGGTTAGAGCATTGGCCCAAGGACTGGAGGGTCTCGGGTTCAATTCTGGTCAAGGGCATATACCTCACTTGCAGGCTCGAGCCCCAGAGCTGGTTGAAGCTCATGTGGGAGGCAACCAATTGATGTCTCTCTCTGTGTCTCCTCCTCCCATCCGTTCTAAAAATCAATGGAAAAAAAGATCCTCCGGTGAGGATTAACAAAAACAAACAAAAAAACCCCACTGAGAGACACTATTTCTCAACCATCATTTCATCTAGACTCTCAGATTGTCAGAAACCCAAAAGTGACCGCACACTCAGCGTGGCTGTGAATTATCAGACACCCTCATATATTCCTGATGGCAATGCAAAATTGTGCAGCCCATGCAGGGGAATCTAATGGTATATATGCAAATCAGTTTTCAGGAAACCACCTTAAAGGGGCAATGTGAGAGAGAAGAAAAAACAATTCAGTTCTCACTGGAAATATCCATCTCCAGTCATTGGCCTCTTACATACTCGGACTGCCATGTCTTCCATCCAGGCCCAGCTAAGTTCGTGTCTTCCCCCCGGGGCTTCTACAGTGCTCGTGGCAAGTCCTGGGTCCAACATCCTTCTGGCAACTACGGCGTCTTTACAAAGAAGCTTTCGGCCCAGGTTTGCCATGTTGTCCCCAAAGGGTCATTTTTGAAAGATGTTTTACTTTTTTAAAGACAATTTTGCTTATTGATGTATAATTGACAAAGTTGCTAATGTTGTTAAAATGTGTGACTGGTTGCCCCATCCAGATAGTCAACACCTCCATCCCCCTTGTCTATCTGTTGTGTATCTGTGTGGCAAGAAGTTGGAAGTTCCACTCTCTCGGCAAAGTCCAGTTCTACAAGACCACAGCCTTCCCAATGACAGGCACAGGTTTTACATAGGTCCTCAGACCTGGTTCACTTTGTAGCTGAAAGCCGGTACCCTTTTACTAACCTCCCCCATTTCCCACCCCCCAGCTGCTGGCAACTTTCCTATGCTGTTTCTGTTTGCATTTTCCCCCACTTAGAGAAATGCCCTCAAGATCCATCCATTTTGCACAAATGGCAGGGTTTTCTTTTTCCTCGTGGCTGCATAATAGTCCATTGTATGAAATACACCACATTTTTATCCTGTCACCTGCCATTTTTGTGTATTGGCTGTTGTGAATAATGCTGCAAGGGCAGGGGATATGGATAGCTCTTTGATACCCTCTTCTCCTTCCATTTTCCTTGGATGTATGTCCAGAAGTGGGGTTGCTGGATCATGTGATGGCTGTAGTCTTTATTTTTTGAGGAACCTCCATACTGTTCCCATAGTGGCTGCACCCTGGGGGCCGGGGATGGGAGTGGACACCTGGGCGGAAGCCTGCGGACGCTGCCCCTGCAGCCTTGGTGCCCGGCCCTCCATGTGCAGGCGGCCATGCTCCCTCCCAGGGGCCGCACCCTCCCCACCTCTTCTCCTGGCTCCCGGGCTGGCTGGCATCTAACGGGCTGTGCTGGGTGTGAGTAAATTATACTCAAAATTCTACTTACATGCGTGTGCACACACGTTTTCCTGGGAATCTGTGGCTTTCGTTCATGTGTTTAGTCTCTGACTAATAGTAGTTCTGAAACACCGGGTCCCCTCCCTCGAAGCCTCAGCCTCGCCCTGACACACTGCACTCACACGATGAAGCAGAATCGAACTCCTTTTCTCTCCCAACGACTGGGGGAGAGTGTACTTCCAGACCCAACCAACTTCCCCCACATGACATCTGACCCCTGGACTGACTAGCCCGCTTCCTCCGCTAACCTCATTTGTTCTCCAACGTCAGTTAGCTCCTCAGTGCATCACCCCAGGAATATCGAACCTGCCACCCTTGGCCACCAGTCTCCACCTGCGCCACCCGACTGTCACTCTGCCCCTGCGGCGGGCACCGCCAGCTGCTCGCCCTCTGATTCTCCTCTCATGGAGGCCGGTCACCTGGTCGCCCGGCTGGGGGGTGAGGCCCTCAGGCACACGGGGAGGGAGGGCTCCTTTCTAAGGCCCACCCCACACTGCATCCCAGGGTCAGGGCTCCTGCACCTCACACCCCGGGTCCTCCTGCCTCACCTCAGTCCCAGCACTCACACCCCAGTGCATCCCTGGCCACCCCGGCGAGGGAGGGAGAGACACCCATCACTATGGGCTGTTAGAGATGAAGGAAGTCCTTGCAGAAAGTGGGATGGTGAGGGTGCTGATCTGGTGACAGGAAGAGAAGCAAGGTCAGATATGGGTCTGAGATGCAAGCTGGGAACTAGGTGAAGCTAAAGGCATAGAACACGGACAGCTGGCACAATGGCATGTGCCGGGAGCCAGGCCTGCTCTTCTTGGGCACTGGGAGCTGGCTGGGCAAAACAACTGAACTGCCTTTAGCTCAGTCTTATTTTCACAGAATCACCTTGGAAAGTTCCAGTGTGAGGAGAAGCGAGAAGACCTCCATAGAACTACCGTGTGTGTGAGCTTTGCCAAAGTCTGGGAGGGCTTCCTGGGGCGCATGGGACTTCCGGAGGTGGGCAAGCAGGGACACAGAGGTCCTTGGGCGCCTGCACCTGCTGTGTCATGGCGGGGAGGGTGTAGGCGCACAAATCAGGATAGCGACCGAATTCCACAGAATGAGCCACTTGCATTGGAGCACGTTTTGTAGTCCGTTAACCTTGTCATTTTAATTCTGTATTTTCTCTGTGTCTCTGCCCATTGCCATTCCCCGGTCCTAAAAATTCCTTTCCCCTTCCAGCCTGCTGCTTGAGACCTATTTTTTTAAAATATATTTTTATTGATTTCAGAGAGGAAGGGAGAGGGAGAGGGAGATAGAAACATCGATGATGAGAGAGAATCATTGATTGGCTGCCTCCTGCACGCCCCCCACTGGGGATCAAGCCCGCAACCGGGACATGTGCCCTTGACCAGAATCGAACCCTGGGACCTTTCAGTCCACAGGCTGACGCTCTATCCACTGAGCCAAACCAGCTAGGGCTGGACATTGTCTTTTAATTTTTACTGATTGTGCCCTTGGGGGTTAGGAATCCTTACCGTGGGCTCCTAATCCGTACACGGTGGGGCGTCTGTATAGATCAGAGCTGCGGTAGAAATAGAAGGGGAGGGACAGGATGTTTATGTAACAGCTACTCTGTGACCACATGTCTGCATGTTTTCATGAACACCCTACACACCAGGTATCATGTAGCCGTTGAAGAAACTGAGGCATATACAAATTAATAAACCAGTCAAAGAAAAAGAGAAACTTGCCAAAGGTTATAAAGTTTAGTCTCAATGCAAAAATGTACACCTTATTTTTCTGCATAGAACTTATCTTCTCTCCACTAGGTCAGTAGTTCTCAAACTTCCAGGATCTTGTCACCTCTGCCCCCTCCCTCTCCCACAGAGTTCCCACCTAGAGCCCTGGTCACCCTCCCACCCCTCATCCCCCCGCAGGATTCCCATTCACTGGTTCTGGGTGTGGGACTCGAGGATTGGCATTCCCCATGTTGCTGGTGCCAATGTCGGAGACGGACCAGATGCCTGACCATATCTGAGAGCGATTCAGACCCCAGGGCCAGGTGTGAAGTGCATTCATGTCACTTGGTCATCCTTTCAGAGCAGGCTGATTGACAAAAGGCACCAAGCCGTCGCTTTGTGAAGCATGTGACTGTCTAAACACGAGGCTGGGCATCCGACTAATACAAACTAATGTTGAATGTCAACTGTAATCGAAAGGGAATACACTTTTCTTAAAGGCAGAAAGTAGTTAGAAAGGCAACACAGAGAACTGAAATGCTTCAGAGACATGCTGGGGTGTAAGAACATATTTTCTGCTGGGAAATGTGGTAAGAAATTAAAGAATTAGTCACGGTGGGAAGCACCTGGGGGAGAACTTCCATGTAATGTTCCTTGTCTAGCTGGGAACTCTAGCCGTGCTGGAGAGGAGGGCAGGGGGACCGTCCACAGCTGTGTCTGCCTTGGCTACAGCGCAGCTGCACACTCACGCTGACTCCATCTCCGTGTGAACCAGGCCAGAACTCCGTCAGGCTGAAGTCTGATACAATAGGTGGTCACAGATATCGAGAAAATGTGTTTCCTTGAATCTGTTCAAACTGGATTTTATTGAAAACCTTCCCCTCCTGCCCTCCCCCCTTAGAGGGAGGGGGAGAGGACAGAAAACAAAATCACTTAATTCAGAATCCGCATTGTAATTGCTACGGTAGGCTCACACGTGGCTTGAACATCTTTTTTTAAAATATATATTTTATTGATTTTTTACAGAGAGGAAGGGAAAGGGATAGAGAGTTAGCAACATCGATCAGTTGCCTCCTGCACACTACTGGGGATGTGCCCGCAACCCAGGTACATGCCCTTGACCGGAATCGAACCTGGGACCCC